TTCTCAAATACATGGAGAGTAAGTGGATTGTTTATTTCCTTCACAGATACTTGTTTCTGGATATATCAGTGTAACATTTTGTTATTTGATTGGTATACCTCAGAAGCCTTTTTTTTCCTTTTTTATTTCTGGCATTGGTAATTGAACCCAGGGCCTTTGCCCTGAGCTATATCCCCATTCATTCGTTCACTCGTTCATTATTTTGAGACAGAATTTCACTAAGTTACCCAACTTGCAGTCCTCCTATCTCAGCCTCCCAGAATTCTGGGATTACAGGCATGTGCCACTATGGCCGGCTTTGTGTTTTTTATTGCAACATTTTTTCTACTTGTGCTTTATTGAAACATGATTTTTAAAGCTTCATATTTTGTGTAAGTATTAGTATAGTTTCAAATGATGATTTACTAACTTCCATGAAAAGTAATACAATGATTCCTTTGAAAAGTAGTATTATTTTCTCTTTTAAATAAATAAATAAATAAATAAATAAATGTAGTATTCTGAAACTTCAGTTATAAATGTATAGTCTTATACTTTCACAGAAGCGCATTTCAAGAATTGTTCATATTCTCTTTCTCCCTTGTCCTGTTAACCCAAAGCTTTTATGTTGTCTTAAAAGCAGTTCCTGTTTTATGTCACACCCAGTGGTTCTCTTGCAAAATAAATGGTCTTGGCCTCCTGGGTTAAGAACACCAGTTGAAGCTTCATTACTGAGTTTCCTTCCTTTGAACTTTTGCTCAAGGAGTTAAAAAAAAAAGTATACAAAAACGTAAGAAATTGAGAAACAGGTAACCAAATAAGAAAAGGAATATTAGCTAATTTAAAGAACTTTAAATCAGACTCACAGGAGCATCAAGGGTGACCACTGTGTATCCTGCAGAAGTTACACTGGGATGATTCTGAGGTTTGCCTCCAATAGCCGCAAATCCAGAAAGAAGCAAACTGAGTGGGTATTACTGGTTTCTTACCAGTGAATAGTAGGAGAAATAGGTGTGAAAGAGAATCAAATGAAATTGCTTGAGTGGCTGACTGCCCCAAATTCAGGGCTTCTATCTCCTTGATACAGTACAATCTGTACTCTGGGGTAGGGCACAAACTCTCAGGAGAGGAGAGGCTGGGTATTTTATTCTAACAGATTATATATTTCTTCATTGAAACTACATTTTCTCAGACTTCAGAACATAATGAACCAGCCCACAAGCTAAAGCTACACTGGCAATCCAGTAAATTTGTGTAGGGAATAGAATTTAAAAGTCACCTGTATTTTACAAATACAGTGTGTGGAGAGCTATGCCTGACAAGATGAAAGGAGTTACATTGTAGTTAATGCAAATATCCTGTGATGAAAGAATAAAGGAGGAACAAAGAATGCATGTAAAATCAATCTGACAAGAAGGTAACTTCAAGGAGAGGCTTTCCAGCTTTGTGCTATAGATCAACTTAATGAAAATGTGAATTCAGGAAAATAAGCGAAAGACAAGAAGATAATAACAGTGAGATGAAAAGGGAGAGTACAGACAAACAGAAATAAATAGATTCAGCAAAGACTAGAATGAAATTGAATAACTGACAGATGAGGTAATTCCAGTGAATACAGATGAAAAGGTTTGGAAAAAATAAAGGCAAAAACATGAAAGGAGGTCATCCCATATAAATATAACTAATGTCTCTGAAGAAAAGAACCCAGTCAACAGAATAGATGGATTGAAATAGCACAAGTTGTTTCAGGAAAACTGTATAGTTTCATAATGAGAAGACCTCATTTGATCAAGTTAGAGAACTTTTAGGATAAAGTTCATCACTGATCATTGTTCAGGAAGCCTCAGGGAAGGGAGTTCTGTGCTTCCCATTAGGTGGGGTCAGGTCCAGTCTCTGCAGAGCTTTTGCTTTGGTCTTCGTAGTAGCTGTGTGCTATTGTTGGTTACCAGACCACTGAGGATGGTGGAGAATGTGGCCTGTGGTGTGGGAGTCATTAGGTTGCTAGCTGTCACCCAGGGGCTTGTGAGAAACAGCTGTAGCTCTGTGGAAGACATATTTCTAAACTGATGAAGTTTGTCTTTGCTTACCTGCTGTCCAAGTCTTAGAAGTAGTTGTTTAATCTGTTGTTTCTCAGAGGAGGCAGAATTTATTTGTTTCTTGGAACTTCTTATGTTCTATTTTATCAGTATTGTTCTTGTCTTATATTTGCTTCTCTGTGGACTAAAAAATTGACCTCCTTTGTGTTAAGTATCTGTGGGAGTTCACCTTAGCTCAATTATGGGACCCTGTCAGCCCGTGGGTATCTCCAAGATCTTAGGGCCAACAAGCTGACTGAGGAGGAGCCAAATGATTCAGATACAGATTGAGCACCCTGCATGCCACTTGAAAGAAATGTGGATTGGAGCATCTGGAGACTTGTTCCTATGCGTTCTGGGTTTTCCTTCTTTCTCAAGATGACAGATACATAAGGATTCTGTGTATAGTTGGAAGCCTGGGAAGTCCTTAGGAAACACCATTCACAGCCAAAATTCTATCATATTGTTACAACTTTTCTGGATGGGTTTAAGTCATTTCTACTTTGATAAAATATAGTATTATGTCTTTTAAAAATAGCAAGAGATAGAAAAAGAAGAAGAGGAAGGAAAGGGGAAGGAGAGGGAGAAAGAATGAGACTGATTGAGAAATCTTCAGACTTCCTGACAGGAAAGCAAACCAGTAAAAGGGGGAAAAATCTGGCCTTAACCTTCTTCATAGCAACATTCAGTGCCAGCAGCATTCAAGGGAACAGTGCCTACAAGAAATGATGGACCTCACACATTGGACCGGCCAAGATGTCATTCACCTGTAAAGCTAGCAAGCAGATGTCTTAAATGTGCAGAAACTTGGGGAAAGGTGTGCATGCGCGTGCTACTCTTAAAAAAAAACACCACTAGTGAAAGCTAGCCAATTCAGAACTGAAGTGCTCAGGAGGGGAAGTTGTGGTAAGGGTACCATGGAGAGATTACCTCAGCTTAAATACGGACTCACTAGTAAGGAACAACAGAATTACAAAATGGAATGTGAGTATTATGAACATGGACAGTGTGCAAGTTAGATAATAAAAACTGGGGGAAAATGAGATTCGAAATATGAATACTAAACTTTTCAACTACCAAAGCAGGAAGTTAGTACATTCTGTTCAAAATTGTGTATAATTTCAAAACTTACATGAATTATTTCAGTCTATACAATAGTGTATTTAATAAAACTAGTTACTAATTATTAAATTAAAACCAAAGTCTAAGGAATCAATCACATACTTCTTTTTAGTATATGTGCTGCCAGAGTGTGCACTATTCACATACTTCTTAAAAGTGGAACATTCCAAAAATGTTCTTAATTTACAAGGATACAAATTTATGTACTATTCACATTTAGTGGATGCCACTGTTTGTTATATTTGCTTCAAATCATGTGTAAAGTATTTAAGACAAAAGGAAAGGTTTAGAGAAAATAATGGCTATCAATGCATTCTCCGCTCGTTAGGAGATAAAACATTGCTAATATGCATGCTTTTGACCTGTGTGTGCTTTTCAAAATCCGGATTATCAGTGTCCAGATTTTCGTGTCAATTATTTACAAACTTTAAGACCTTTATACTTTAAGCATATGAAAAATATGTTCAGTTAATATATTTTCTGATTTTAGTCTTAATAGAAACAATATTCTGTAGTTTGCTTCTTTAACTCAGCATGTTTTGAGATTTGTGTTGATATTGTTGCTTGAGTATATTTATTTCTGTTCTGTATAATTAATTACATGGGTATATAATAAGTTATCAATCTGTTTTTAACTGATACACATTTATTTCCTTTGTTTGCTAATATGTTGGGATAAAGCTTTTCCTACACATTCTTGTTGACATGTAATAATGTTTTTCATAATTTTTTAAAAACTTGCATTTTCCAGATAGAGTTTAAGAATAAGATTGGTTTCCCTTCAGTTTCTTTTCTTCTATTAATTCCATAAAAACTTAAATGTAATATCTAAGATATCATCCCTTTGTATATTTTATTAATCTATTCTGTGTGTATGCATAGGAAGATGTCTGAAATGATGTTTATTCCTCTATTAGTATTTATTTCTAGATGGACTGTGGGGTCATTTAAAAAAAAATTTTAGCTCTGTTTTTGCATTGTTTATAGTCTTCATAATGGGCATGTATGATTTTTATAATAGGAGTAGAGTGATATTTTTCTCAAAAACAAAAGAAAGCACATATTTTAAGATATTGACTGTGATTATTCAGTAATGCATGAATAAATGTAAATTGCATAGCAGGAGTATAAATTATTTTCTTTTTGGCAATTTTGTATTTCAAAGGCCTTTAAGTATATTCATAGTATAATTGAAATACTATGATGGTATTCTACCCTTCTTAAAAGCTGAGCATGGTGATGGGTGCCTGTAGACCTGTAATCCTAGCACTTGGGAGTCTGAGGCAGGAGGATCACCCCAACTTTGAGGCCAGGCTGAGCTACATAGTGAGTTCAAGGTCAGCCTGAACTATATAGCAAGACCCTGTCACAAAAAAATTATTAAAAAATACAGCCTTTAACAATAACAGAAAGCTGGAAAAAAATTTAGGAATTTTTATTTACTTAATTACTATCCCTTTTCCAGTACTATCTTCCAGTTTTTAATTTTGAATGAGGAAAAAGTTACTGTAAGTAACTTAAGTCCTGTTAGTACTGTATAGTGCAACATTCAGGTGATTTAGACTGTGTATGGAAGACATTTTTGGGAGGTGTTACAAGCTTCATTTTTTTTAAATCCCAGGGTGGTGTAGTTGAGCTCCCCTTCCTGAGTTCTTACATGCCCAGTGGGCCAGGTTTTAGGTGTGTTTGTCAGTGTGACAGGTTCCTCCCTATATCTATGGTAGATTTAGTGAGCATCTCCAAACTGGATTATATCACAAATAAGAGAATACAAGATGTTCTGATTTGTCTTTTGGGTAAAAATAAGGTGTGTTTGTTTTGTAGGTATGACCTTGTTTCTAAGGAATGGCTTCCACTGAACCGTTCTGTGAACAATGTGGTTGTGAGATACGGTCATTCTTTAGCCTTGTATAAGGTAAGGTATTATATAAGGTTTGTATTAAGCAATGAACTCAGCTCCTCCTTACTGTCATTATGTATTGTATAGTTGAAGAAGTAGTCAGTATTGCTTTCTGATTGGAAAAAACTAGGCTAGAGGCTAAGTAGTTGGTTAAGTTGTAAGTAAAAACTGAAGTTGAAGTGTTTTTTAACCCGTAACTATGGTCTGAATGGTTAAAAATGTAGATTAGCAAGTGTAGATTAACCTTTATGCCCATTAGCAAAGTTTAGACAAGAATAACCACATTGTAAAGGGACTGAATAATCATTTTCATTTCCTTGTTTTTGTAGATATATGGTAGAATGGGGCAACTTTATTTTTCGAAGTCATTTTATTCTATAAAAGATCACATTTGAGGAAGTCCAAGAAAAGTGGCAAAGTTTTAAAGAAATAGAATATTTGTTTCATTTTATTTTGATTTGTTCCTTTCCCTATCCTTTTCTTAATAATTACTGAAAGGTATATTTCATTAATACTTTTAAAGTTAATAATATTGAGATTTTGAACTGATCAGTTTTTAGCCTCAGATTTGAAATTTTAATATTTTTTAAAAATCCTATTTACATTTTTCCCCCTAGGATAAAATTTACATGTATGGAGGAAAAATTGATTCAACGGGGAATGTGACAAATGAGTTGAGAGTGTTTCACATTCATAATGAGTCGTGGGCATTGCTGACCCCAAAGGCAAAGGAGCAATACGCAGTGGTTGGGCACTCTGCACACATCGTCACACTGAAAACTGGCCGAGTGGTCATGCTGGTCATTTTTGGGCACTGCCCTCTCTATGGCTATATAAGCAATGTACAGGAATATGACTTGGGTAGGTATATTTTTTCCAGTGGGTGTGTTTTGAACATCAGATTTCAAACCTGTACCCTCATTATTAGGATGGTTTAACAAGATTCAACCTAACTCGATCCAGTGCTTTTTCTTGAAACCCATTTAACAATAATGTATTACCAGTGAGATTCAGATTATTGATGCCCCTATGTAATATTATGCTACTGTGGATTTGGAAGGAGTCCAAAAATGGTATTACATGCTTTGGGTGTGTGTTAAAATAAATAAAAATCCCAACAACAAATGCTCAGAAAAAAATTTGGATAGCCCTTTAGAGATTAGTTTACTGGAGTGTGCATGTGTGTGTGTGTGTGTGTGTGTTATGTGTATTTCCCACTTTGATTAAGTTTTAGTGTATCTGTTATTGTTCATTATGAATATCAGGTATAATTTGATGTTTTGAGAAAGTAGCCCTATGAAGGTATGTTGATCGCTAAGGTCATAGGAAATGTTCATTTATAGGGACACTTATATTTTAGTGACATTCTTTTCCATTGTAGCATATAAAACATTTAACTGAAGTTTGGCTACATGGCTTTGATACAAGTTTTAGATGGATTTTTTTAATAAAAAGATTAAATTATATATGTGTATATAGATAGATATAACCAGATACTTAACATATTCATATATCAGTGTGAATATGAATATATCTATATGAATATATAGATATATATCTCAATCAGCTCTCTTGAAATCCTTTCTGTTGCCCTAAACTGCTTAGATTTTAAGTATTAGAGAAAAGGAGGTTGCAGTGTTTACCTTTAACTGGTTTTTCTCTCTTCAGATAAGAACATGTGGACTATATTACACACCCAGGGTGCCCTTGTACAAGGGGGCTATGGCCACAGCAGTGTTTATGATCACAAAACCAAGGCCCTGTATGTTCATGGTGGCTACAAAGCTTTCAGTGCAAATAAATACCGGCTCACTGATGACCTTTATAGATACGAAGTGGATACCCAGATGTGGTGGGTGGTTTTTCTTGAGCTTTTCACTTTAACATATGAATTCAGGAAAGGTAGTTGGTGGAAAAATGTGCTATATTTTTACTTTCAGACCTGGTAGATAATCCAGAGATTATCTCTTGGCATTGTACATAGAGAAATTAGGAAATAAGCACAGGGTAAGAAAGTAGCCAACATTTATATTTTTACATTTTTCTATAATTCTGTAGTAGGACGAATAGAAAATGCTTGCAGTTTTGAGCTGATTTTCAATTTTCATACACAGAGCACTACTGTAAAATTTTATTTCTTCAGAATCCTAAAGAATAAATAGCTGAGTTTGTATATACCTATAATTAATTAAAAGTTCTTGTTTGCTTTTTTGGTGGTAGTGCTGGGCATCAAACCCAGGGACTGGCACATGCTAGGCAAGTACCCTACCACTGACTTGTATCCCTAATCAAGAGATATCTGGTATTTAACTTTGCCTTAATATCCAACTTTTTAGGGTGAGTTACTGGTGTCATCCCATAAAATCAATAAACAGGATGTCCTTATATGTAATTGATAGAGCTTTCCCCACTCTGAACTATAGCTATGCCTCTGAAAAGTGTGCTAATTTTAACAAATGTAAAGCAAATTTGAATTATGAAATAATATAATTATAAACCAACAGTTTCTATTACTTTTTGTATTTTCTCATATATTTAGGACCGTATTATGCACATGATTTCACATGTCATAAAAGTCATTTTTTGTAGCTACTGTTCCATTGTATGAGGTTACTAATCTGATGTAGTTGATGATTTTGATTTCTAGTTTTTGTCTATTAAGTCATTGTACAGAAACTTCTTTCTATATTTCATGATTTCTACTCAGAAATTTTAATTACAGTGCCTTACGGTGTGAACATTTTAAAGCTCTTAATATATTTTGCCAAAATTTTTATAGATTTTCTTGCATATTTGTTGAGAAAATTATATATAGGAAAAGTCTGGAAGCAGTTTGCATCTGAAATTAATAAAATGGTTATGTTTGCATTAGCAGATAGATAAATATTCTTTAAAACTAACCTTATATTTATTATTTTTAAATAAACTCAAAAGGACCATTCTTAAGGACAGCCGATTTTTCCGTTACTTGCACACAGCTGTGATAGTGAGTGGAACCATGCTGGTGTTTGGAGGAAATACACACAACGACACATCCATGAGCCATGGTGCCAAATGTTTCTCTTCAGATTTCATGGCTTATGACATCGGTAAGTTTTCCAAAGCCATTTAGCATCAGGAGAGTTTTTACTGAGGGTAGCTTTAGATAGAATAACTGAAAATATCACCAGTGCAAAATGGTCTTACCATTTGGAAGAGACCCAGATGGTAGTTTTATATTTATTTAAGGTTACACGTTTATTAAAAGTATAACATCTACAATAGGTTCTTTGTGAAGTCATTGTTGCTAACTGCTTAAATATTACTGTTTTTGAGGCTGAGTCAAGATAAATTATTTCTCCATTTTTGCAAAAGCCCTACATGATAGAGCTGGAGTAGTTGTAACCACCAGATTTGTATAAAGTTGGCGTAAGTGCAGATACACACATATTCTTGGTTGGATATACTTGACCAGAAGAGGGCAGTGTTTGTTTATGTAAAACAAATACAGTACAAGAAGTGTTCATGTATAAATATCAGATGTTCATTTAAAAACATTTTTATTGTGGTAAATACACATAAAATTTCTAATCTTAATATTTTTAAGTGTATAGTTCAGTGAAATTAAATACATTCATAATATTTACATCTAGCAATACCATCCATGTTCATAACTGTCTTTATCATGTAAAACTGAGACTGTCTCCCTATTAAACAGTAACTCCCCATTTCCCTCTTCTCTCTAGCCTTTGAAACTACCATTCTTTTATCTCTACAGTTTGGACTATTCTAAGTCAGGTGTTAATTTTCAACAGACATTTAAGTGCTGGCCACTGAGCTTGTACATTGAGGATAAGATGAATGAGTTATAGCCCTTAGTCTGATGATGAAGGAGGCAGAGAAGTGAACAGTGTAACTGCAATTCAGGTGTTTTTTGCTGAAAGGAATATATGAGAAAGTCCCTTGAGTATCTTTAAGTCATGGGGTGAAAGGTGACAGGGAATGCCTTCTTGAGGAACAGCCATCTAAGTGAGATCCTGAGGAATTCTGGGAAGCAGCCAGGTAAAGTTAGGCAGGACTTCTCAGGCACTAGAAGTCCATGTGCAGAGACATAGGTGGACAGAGATCATGGCACATGGTAGAGTAATTTTGTGTGGATCATAACAACACAAAAGGTGGCAGTGGCCTCAAGTGGAACTACAGAAGTAAACAGCGGTCAAGGGAGGCCATTTTGATCCTGAGAAGCCCACTGTGTCTTGCTGAGGGGTGTGGGTTTTTTGAAGCATATTCCAGAGGAGGTGATGGAATCATACTTATGTCTCAGGAAGATCTCTTCCGTGGTCTTATGGCAAGTAGTTAGAAAGAGGCCTTTTGGTAGTTAGGAGGCTGCTGCTGAAGTCCTGCTGACGGTTTGAACCAATGTGGTGAGCATGGCCCTGAGAATAAAGAGTTAGATGTACTTTGCTGACTACCAGGAGTGTGAAGACTGTGTGGGGTGTTTTGAGAGAAATGCAAGCTGAAGTAAAGGAGTAAAGTGAGTGCCTCAGGTTGAGGTAGTTCTGGGAGGAACATTAAAAAAGAGAGATGAGACCAGGCATGGTGGCGCACACCTATAATCCCAGCACTCAGGAGGCTGAGGCAGGAGTACTGCTGCAAGTTCGAGGCCAGCCTAGTGTACATGGTGAGTTCAAGGCCAGCCTGAACTGCATAGTGAGACCCTGTCTCCAAAAAAAAAAAAAAAGAGAGAAACATGTAAATGTTGCATTGAAAGCCACAGATGGATGTTGGAGGCCCAAAGGAGAGAGGGTGTACATTGTTCATTCAAAATAGGTATCTTTCCAGATGGGATGAGATGAAGGGATCCTGCAACACCGTGGTTTTAGGGAAGGAAGCAAAGTGCTAGGCCAGAAGCTGGGGAATTGTGGCCTCTGTTTTTCATGTGAGGAAGTCAGAATCGAGGCTACTAGGAGAAAGCCGTGAAGACTGTTGTTGTCAGGCTTAAAGAAGGTCTGGATGAAGGAGAAGAACTCGTGTTGAGTGCATGCCTTAGAGAGTGAGACAGTGAGCATGAGGATGGTGTGGTGCACGAGCACCGCTGGCATAAGGTACAGAAGAGAGATTGCTGGCACAGGTCAGGACAAAAGAAAACCAGTGGATCTAAGGGATCTAGGGAAGAACTTTAAAAAAATTAAGTTTTCATTTTTAAAAATTTTAATTTTCCACTGATATTTTTCCATTGTAGCTTCTTAAGTTTGGGTAAGTCAGCTGGGAAGATGGCTCAGCGGCACAGCGCCTGCCTGGCAAGCACAAGGTCCTGAGTTCAATTTCTGGTACCAAAAAAAAAAGTTTGGACAAGTCAGAATAGAGAAGATTGGAAAATAATTGTGAGACCCACTTTATTCAAATAAGCTTTGTAGAATACAAAATTTGTTTAAGTTAAACATTCTAGATAGTAAAATGGACAGATAATAGTGAGTGTCCAGCTTGTCTTGAGTATTGGATGATCTGCAAATTAGCACTGCTGTGTGATCTGCCTTTCTTTCCTCTCTTGATGCTTTATTGCTGCCACTTTGTACCCTAGAAATAACCGTGTGACTAAAAAAGTTCGAGAGGCGTTTTATGAGGCAGTAGTTCAGTCTTCTTGCCAAAAACTGTGTCAGTTCCTGTTGATTATGAGCGGTAGTCCATTCTGAAATGAGTTTTTCTTGTTTCTAGCTTGTGACCGTTGGTCAGTGCTTCCCAAACCTGATCTCCACCATGATGTCAACAGATTTGGCCACTCAGCAGTCTTACACAACAGGTAATTAGAGAAGTTCTTACTCTTTTCTCTCATGTTTAAAATGAAAATAAAATGAAGTGGAATTGAGCTTGATATTATTCACAGGATTTCTTTATCCCATTAGTTTTTACAAAATTATATAGATATGGATTTCTTGACCCAGCTTTAAAGTACTTGATGTAGATATGAATTTCTTCAAATGCCATGTTTATTGGTTCGATTTTGTTAGGAGGCAGAGCATGCTGTGTTTGGTGGTGTCTGAATGCATGGGATAGCCAGGGCTACATATACATTACTGTCTTATGTTCTCTGCCATTCTTTTTGGTACTTGGGTTGTCAAGTTTCTAGTAGTTGTATCTGAATGGTAAAGAGAGTTTTGGGGGGCAGGGGAAGGAAAAGGGCACTTCAGGTAAGGGATAATATAGGCGAACAGACATGGGGAAATTGTTAAGCTTGATACAGACCGCACACACCTTTAAGCAGTACCTGGACCATACTTGCCAGAGCTATGTATAAGTGTGCCCTAGAGAAGTCTCCAATAAAAGAGATTCAGAGTGGTCATTTTTCTGTTCTTTTTAGTGAACTTTAAAGACTTTTGAGAAGCTAAACAGCTTAGTCACATTATTAATATTTCTCATTTTGTTTCTGCTATTACTGGTATCTCTTTCTACTTTTAAAGTCAAAAGTCATATAAAACCCTGAAACTGCATTATATTGAGATCCCTTGGCTTTCAAAATTTTTGATGTGTTGATGAAAAACAGAGGAAGATACTTTAATTTGGATTAGGAAAAATAAGAAAGAAAGCAATATTTTGAAGCTATTGTAAAGAAAGACTCACCAGAATTTAAAAACTAGAATTTTTGGAAATAGCTAACACTTTCTATAAAATAATTATTGAATTTTTAGCAGTATATATGGTTTTATAATTAGAACATTGATAGTTATAGACTAAAATGGAAAGATTGTTGACTACCTCGCTTCCTTTAAGTGTTACCTGCAATGATAATCTGATGCTTCCCCTCTGAGGAAAACCCCTCAAAACTTCTAGCAAATGTTTCTTGAAGTTTTTTAGCTCAAGCAGTGGAACCCTTGGCTATCACCTTGCCCTTGGATGCCTGGCCTCAGGTTTCCTCATCTTTGTGTTCCTGATGTTGTTGTAGCACGGGCTTGGCATGTAATAGGTACTGGCTGAATGGCACCTGTTTATACAGTGATTATAACTATCAAACAAATCATCTTCTGTTAAAACATTCGTAGGAGTCAAGTACAGTGGTATGTGCCTGTTATCCCCACTATTCAGGAAGCCAAAGTAGAAGGATAGCGCCTTCAGTGCCAGCCTGGAGAATTTAGCGAGACTGTCTCAAAATAAAATAAAAAAGGCCTGAAGTGTAGCACAGTGGTAGAGCACTTGCCTGGCATGTGCGTCTCTGGGCTTAATCCCCAGTACCACCAAAGAAAGGGGAGGTTTATACAGACTTTCAAGTAAGTTGACAGTTTATCGTAAAACATAGTTAACCATGCATCAAAGTTGAGAATGACTTGTCTGAGTTATAATAAAATTTTAATTTTCATGTAATTCCAGTAGTGTGTTTGAGCCTGGATCTGTGAGTGTGTGTGGGTACAGAGCAGAGTTGAAAGGGGCAGGAGTTGATGAGAGAGGCCATACAGTGAAGGCCTGTTCTCATTGTAATCTTAGGAAATAATATGCTGAAGGAGAAACTTTGACTCACAACATTTATCCATGTTGTAAGTCCGTCAGCAGTACTAGAACAGCTGTGCCTGCCTTAGTTATTCTGACTCATTTTGAGGGAGGTAGGAAACAGGAGGCTGTGAGGCATTGAGGCTGCAGGGGATATCATGTTCCTCTCAGGTCCCTGGTCCACACCTCTGTGAAGGGATCTCCTGACCCTTCTGAACTTGTGTGTTACCAGAGATAACAGAATTGCTGGGAACACGAACTCTCTTGGGAAAAAAGTGAGCTTGTTTGGTTTAAGCAACAAATTCACTAGCCAAATCCCGCCTATTCCATATGATACTAAGCTGATAGTGGGGTTAAAAGGGAAATGGGTGATTTTTTATAATTTAATTGTGCAGTTTTCAGATATGGTAATAAATAATGTAGAGAGCCACATAATCTTTATGCTTCAGTTATTAGTCCTCTGTTCATTTGAGGGAAATAGAGGCAAAGTACAAGTAAATTACTGAATACCTCATTATGGATTAGTATTGAACTTCCTGGCAGCTCATAGGATTTGGGGGTTGGAAGAGATCCTTGAAGCCATTTCCCAAAATCTCGTACAATGCAAGTGTCCCTTTATTAGTGTTCAGGGGTAGTAGAGATTCCTCATGAAGAGGAGGATATGCCTTAAGTCCAGGCATGGAAAATTTACTGAAGAGGGAAGCTCCTAGTTTTTTGGGAGACACTGATTATTAGCAAGTTGACGATACCATCTGGAATCTGCTTTTCTGTATCTTCTGCTTACTGATCTTGTGTCCAGTCTTTAAATTGTTGCAAGAGAAGCATTAGCCCTCCACCATGCACGCTTCCCTCAGATATTATAGATGATGTTATGTGTTAGCTATTTCCACAGCCTCCAGCCTTATTTTCTTCAGACTGTTATCTGGAGAGGCTTGGTAAGATGAATAATCCACGAGAGGCACAGAGATATTCCAGGCATGCAGCTATTGCCCAGGATACTCTGTAGTGCAAATAATGCCACTTTTATAAACCTTGTTAATTTTTTTTTTTTAAACAGTGAAAGAAGGATAACATAGTAATAGGGGGATTTACTGAATTACAGACAAAGTGGTAGGACAATATCAATGGTTGCTATTTTACCTATTGGAATCTTCAAGATAGTTTCTCAGGAAAACAAATAGACAAATAATAGTGAGTTACAGACAAAAATGGTAGGAAATTGTCAGTGGTTGTTGTACTGTACTTTGGTTTCTTCAAAGTGGTTTCTAGGGGAAACAAATAGAGCTATACACTAGTGAACAATTAAATAATCATTGACTATTCTTTTTTTTTTTTTTTTTTTTTTTTTTTTTTTTTTTTTTTTTTTTTTTGGTTTTTCTCCGGTACCAGGAACCGAACTCACGACCTTGCGCTTGCCAGGCAGGCGCTTTTGCCGCTGAGCTAAATCCCCAGCCCCAATCATTGACTATTCTCAGTGGTTGTTGTTGAAAACACATAGTAATAAACATATATCCATTTATGAAATAGCATAGGAACAATAGAAACATTACAGAGTTATAGACAGATTGCTAGGAAATTATCAATGGCTGCTGTAATACATCTTGGTATATTCAAAGTGGTTTCTCAGGAAAACAAAGATATGCAAGAAAGATCTAACAAGTAATTATAGCCTGATAGATTACAGCCAAATAGATTACCTCCTCATCAGTGACTCCTTTCACTGAGATGTGACAGCTTGAAGGAAGGCCAGGATTGAAAAGAAGGACCAAGAGACTAGCACCAGTGTCCAGCAATAGGCTGTTTACTTTTTCCTCTATAGTCATGATTACATGGGGCTCCTCCTTGAAGGTAACGGTTTGGCCAGAGGGAGAAGGCAGAGTATGCCCTGGGCCCCTTCATTCCTGTTGGACCAGCTGGTAGGAGGGGTCTGAGCTCTGGGGCCTTCGCTTCAGAGGGCAGTCTGACCTCTAATGGTCACCTGTACAGTTAGGGTATGGCGTGGGGGCTTCTTAGGGCAGTCTCTCTCGCGGTGGCCTGGCTTTTGACAGCAGTAGCAGATGAATATAGTTGATGAGTTCTTCTTGGGGCCCCGAGAATCAGACTTAGGGTCTGTTTCTCTTAGTGCTGCAACAAAGGCAGCTGTTTTTTCTCATCTCTTTTTTTGTCTCCTTGGCCTCCTCCTCTTCACGGCTATAAAATACTGAGGAGGCAATTCTTACTAACATCTCAAGTGAGCTATCTGGGGCAAAAGCCATTTTTCGTAGCTTTTTTCTACTATTTGGGGCTGACTGAGTAATAAACTTATCTTTAAGAATAGTTTGTCCCTCTACTGAACTGGGATCCAGGAAAGTATGCTTTATCAATGCCTCTTGTCTAAGAAAGCAGAGGGGTGTTCTCTCCAGCCTCCCAGTACATTAGGATCCCACAACTACTTAGTGTCCTCTCCCCAACCATCAACACAGGTGGCAGGAACATGTAGATGAAGTCCTTGGCCCACTAGTCAGTCTCAGCACCATCAGGTGCAAAGTGTCCCAGGCAGGTAACCTAGACACATACCTTCTCCATGAAGGTGGTTCTTCAAAATCTGAATATTGGGGACCCATGTAATCTATGAAGTCTCAGTGCAGACCTCTCTGGAGCTCCACTCACTCTTCCATCACAGCCTGTACAGTTAGGGGAAGAATAGCCTCCAGGTATCTCCCCGGGTATTGTGCAAGGTCCTCCTGGTTTCCAGCTCCCAAATGGGTCCCATGTCCCCAGTCAGCTTGACCTCTGAGTCATCAGGTGTTGGTACTCTTGTGTTCTCCAAGTCCTTGTTCATCAGTTGCTCCTCCGCTGACTCTGGACCTTTCTGGCTTTCAAGGGCAGGGGCAAGAGCGACCTGCTGTGTGGCATGTTTTCCCTGAGGTTTCTCCATGTCGAGATGGTTCACGCATGTTTCTGGGCAGGCCTATTGTGTCAGTGCTTCTCTGTGGCATGGCAGTTCAGGACTGTGCAGCAGTGGCAGTGGCAGGCCAGAGGGCTGGCGCACATCTCCATGCTGCTTCCTGAGCGCCTGCTGCCTGCCTTTCCAGGCGCCTGTGCAGCCAGTTGCGCAGGTCCCCAAAGGGCTCATGCTCCCCAGCCACGTGGCCTCCCAGAGTGGGCGCCTGCGGCCTGCCTGCCTCCCTGGGTGCCTGCTGGCCGGGTGCGCCAGGCCCCAAAGGGTCCATGCTCCCCAGCCGTGCGGCCTCCTGGAGCGGGAGCTTTGTATTTTAAGAATTTTGAAAACAGCATTTTAAGAATTTTCTTATGAGCTATTATACTTACTTTGGGTTGTGT